AACTGCAGAAGTGCACTCCACATCACTATGGCTGGGTGATCAGCTGATGGCTCCCATCCTCCAGGGTGCATGGTGCACTCATGCACCTGGGAGCCCCAACTTGGCCACACGTTCAATTAATGGCATGATACCAACCAGCCACAAAGTTATTGCACATTTTTGGTGTAATAAACTTTGTGGTTTGTTCCTTGTTTTATTATGCCATTAAGTGCATGAACATGTGGCCAGGTAACAACTTAAAGAAGAGATTAACTGGTTAACCATGTCTTAAGTGTAATGTATGCCAGGGGCCTCACTCTCACGAAAAGAGGAATCAGGCTCCTACATTACTTCTATACTTATGAAAATTTTACCCAGCATGGTTAAGTAACCAGTTCAAGCTCACAAAGACAATGGCAGTGCTGAGTCGAGAGTTCAGAACTCCCAGTTACCAATTGGGTACACACAGATACCTTTGTCATTCATTTTCACTTTCATTTGACTGGATCACTAACTAGTTACTGAATCATAAAACAATCTACACTAAAACTGCCTACAAACTCATCAGGGGAGATCAACAGCAAATAGGTAGAGCCCTTTTCTCCCCAGCACCACCTGGGGTGACGAGGAACAATGGTAATAAGCTGATGGAGAATAGGTTCAGGTTAGAGATCAGAAGGCAACATTTTACAGTTAGGGTGGCCAAAATCTGGAACCAACTTCCTGGGGAAGTGGTCCTTGCCCCTACCTTGGGCAAATTCAAGAGGAGGTTGGATGATCACCTGTCTGGGGTCTTGTGAACCCAGCATTCATTCCTGCCTGTGGCAGGGGGTCAGGTTGGATGATCTGTTCAGGTCCCTCCTGACCCTAGGTACTATGAAAACAATCCATTGCAAAACTAGCACCCCGCAAAAAATAGAGAAAAGTTTTTGAGAAAATGTGTTGCAATCATCAGTACAGGAAGATGCCAGCTACCTTAAAATCCCCACCCTTTTTCCCCACTCCAGTCTGCTCACTTCAGACATTCCATATATTTTCTTATGGTTATTGGCCTTGTACTCAAGTATTAGACAAATGTGGACTTTTTTTTAGCTGGTAGCACCAGCCACCACGAATTCTGCTACCACCTCAGTTTATTCTTGTACTGATGGACATAGGATAACTAACCAAAAGCTGTCTTTTTGGATAAATTCATGACACCATATAATTGGTTCTTCAGCTTCTTTTCTGCAGAGGTGGCAGAACTAAAGTCTCCATATTGTGAGAAAATACTGTTTCTAACATTCACCACAAATGAAACACGAAACTAGTACAAAACAGACACTATTTGGGAGTATGAGGAAATGAAGGTTTGAGGGAAGAGGACTTTCACAATGGTTTCCTATGGGTTTGTCAAGGGGTATGAGAGATTCTGCCAATGAAAAGGAATGGAAAAGTTGTACTTGCAAAACCAGTACTGTACCTCATGGAACTTCTCAAGATCTTCATAAGATAGCTCCTGGCCACATGAACGTCATTTTCAGATGGCATTTTCTGTGCTATCATATCCACCACCACTTTCATCTTCCTGAGCAGCCAAGCAAGGAGAGGAACAGACTGTGCTGAGTTGGGATACGAGGCAAACCAAGTGGAGAATTTTAGGCTTTCTTTCACATAATTCATGTGTGTGTGCATGGTGCACATGTATGCTTTCTTGAAGATTCTTCTAGCCATGTACTTAGATTTAATTCAATTGGTCTAAGAATAAAATAGCCTCAGTGATCTAAGCGCACTAAAGTGGGTTCTTCTTTAGGATGTATCATATACCTTCACAAAAAGTATGATTAGGAATGAATCTATTACATATAGCCAAAAACCAACTCTTATTCAAGCCTTTCACCGTTTCACTGTTCAGTTATATTTACCACTTCCTGTATTCCAAGAAAACAAGTTCTCTACCAACAAATTCAAAGTCTACAAATTCATCAGGGGAGGGGTGAGGAGGGAAGCAGCAAGGAACAGGGGATACTCTGTTTACCAGGTTGCCCCTGGGGGTTACTAGGAACAACAGCTATAAAGTGACAGAGAGCAGATTTAGATTAGACATTAGGAAAAAATTCTTCGTGGTGAGGGTTGCCAAAATCTGGAATGGGCTTCCAAAGAAGGTGGTGCTCTCCCCTACCCTGGAGGTCTTTAAAAGGAGACTGGACAAGCACCTAGCTGGGTTCATCTGACCCCAGCACTCTTTCCTGCCCAGGGCAGGGGGTCGGGCTTGATGATCTACTGAGGTCCCTTCCAACCCTAAAAATCTATGAAATCTATAACAAACAACAATGCACTATGAATGAATTCCAAAACCTTCAGTATAAATAGGCAAGAGGGATAGCAAGAGAAAAGATTAAAAACCAGTATTAAAAGACAGAACATTTTGCAGGCAGCTCAAGATACACAAAATCTATGTTCTAATACAAGGCTGCTGTATTAACTCCAAGTGACAGAATGAGAACACCTGAATATGCAATCCAGGAAACCAGAACAGAGTTAATGGAAGCATTAATAAAGGCATTTAACTGAGAGCTCTATCAGTGCTTTGAGGGAAAAAAGGAAAAAGAGCTGCTGCTATCAGCTGCCTTTCAGGACAGCTGAAAGGGGGAAAGAACTGATAAGCTTTGATGATGCACAATACAAGAGAAAAACAATTTTCCATTGACTATAAACATTTAATTTCCATTAGTGAACTCAAATTACATATATATGAAAACGGAATTACACCAAAATAGCCTCTCCCATTCGACTTGTACAGCAGAATTTACCTTATTAATATCATTTCAATTGCTCTATAGAATTAACCACTGGGAGACATAAACCTTGAATCTGAATCTTAGACGTTAGGAGTTTAGGATTTCAGAATTATTGCACTTAGACTACCAAAACGGAGAATAAGATGCAAACCATACATAAAAAGATGGAAAAATATTTCCTAGGCTAAAAACCAAAACTAAACAGACATCCACCTTCAGCTTCCTCTGTGCAAAATGAAGTTTATATTTTACCTCTGGGGACTTTTATTATCTTTAATTTTCCCTCAGCCTGAAGGGTGCATGTACCTGAAAGCTTGTAATGAAAGATTTTTTTTTTTTGTGGTTTTTTTTAGTTGGTCTAATAAAAGGTATCATCTCTGAACCAAGAGTTTTAGAGTTCTGCATTTCTAAATCAGACTAACAAATGTATTTGTAAATAGCAACAAGTTATGCCTACAAATCACCTAGCTACTCAAGAAGAGCTGAAGTTTCAGATAAACTGAACTCTGACTAAATTTGCCAATTCTGGCCTTAGCCATGCTGTTGTAGCTTTATTGACACTTTTTATAGCACTTCACAAAACTGAGTGTTTATACAAAAACAAGTGCTACAAAAATGGTGGATCTGCCACAAAAAAACAGTTTTAAACAAACAAGGACTT